ATATCCACGCCGTCCAGGCCTTTATCTTTGACAAAGTTGGCGATATTGGTTGCGAGGGTCAAGCGATTAGCGGCCGTAACTCCAGTCCGGAAGATGTTGTAAGTAGCGGCGTCTGTCGAGAAGGCCCAGCCACCGAAGGATATCACGCGGTGGACGTTGGTCATGCTTCGGAAGGCTTCGAACTCGTACGTACTGATGACATCGCCCGCTGATACTTTGAAGTCCGGGGTAATGTCACCAAAGGCAAAGTGTATGTGGGAGTACTTGTTAGTATCGATCTGCCGCACGTCCTGGTATAGACAACTGCGGCCGCCCAAGCTGTAGGCTTCATAGTAGCCCAGACTGATCCACTGAGCGGGCGGCTTACCCTTGACCACGTTCGTGCCGCAGTTGGAGATGCAGCCGTTGGTGTTTGGCTTGGCCGTGCCGGGGGCGCCCGTATTCGTATCCGTGCAAAACTCGGCCGTGATGCCGCACTGGCCCCAGACATCGCAACAGGCGTTGAGTGGGCATGGATTGAGCTTCTGTATGTCATCCATGTTGTCGGGCTTCTTGGTCCCGGGCTTCTGCGGTCCGCACACGGCATTGGCCAGCGGGGCCGGCATGGGCGGCGTGCCGTCGCTGAGGCAGATGACTGCCTGGGCCATCAGTCGACTGCAGCCGCTCCATCCCCACGTCTGCTTGTTGAAGCTCTCGATTTGGTCGACTGTCAGGCTATGGGCGGCCGCGATGGCCGAACACGTATCGTCCTGTACAACGGCGTATGATGCGCACGATCCGTCGCTGTTTTTCTTGGGCGTGAAGTCGGGCAGCGTCCCGGACGAGCAGCACACGTGTTGCAGGGGCATCAGCGAGGAGCAAAGCTTCGAATCCGGGTTGTACTTTGTGAAATCGCTGGGCGAGATGCCGCACTTGGTCGCTAACTTGGCGCAGCTGTCACCCGAGGCCACCTGGATGGTTCTACATTCGGCGTGGGCCTGTAGGTGGGTGCCGCGAATCGCCCGCAAGGCTGTGCTGGCGCTGTAGGTTGAGTTGGTGGTTGCGTTCGACGGTAACACCAACGGCGTCGTGAAGTCGACTGTCGCGGCTATGTTCCGCACCGTGTCGAAAGACAGGCAAGTAGCGTTCTTCCATGACCGAATCGCCTGCTGTACGGGGGTGAAGGATGTGTTGCTCGTAGCGATGAAGCCCACGACGTGGTCGCCGTCGTAGTCGTGCCCGCACAGCTGTATGGCCTTGCTGCCGCCCGTGTCGTTGGAAGTGTAAAGGGCATTCTCGAAAGCAATGAGTGCCTCTGGCGCCGTGGACTGGATGTTGACGTTCTTGCCGAGGTAGAGGCCGGCAGTGCCAGTGACGGTTTGCACAAACAACACCAACGACTGCTTGTTGTCCGAGGTATAGCCAGCTGCCAGAGCGCGCCGTACCGACCTGGACAGACTGCGCAGGTCGACGCCGCGATGGGGAGCCGTCTCGTTCCAGCCGCCAAACTCAAGTGTGACGTTGGTCGGCGTGTGTGTTGGATCCGCGTTCGCCTTCATCTGGTTCATATCCGCACCAGGCTTCTGAAGCGCACCGTACGACGTGCAGGCGTAGATGCGATGTCCCGAGCTGCCGTCATCCACATCGTCATAGATGGAGAAGTGGTAGAAAACCGTCTCCTTGCAGTGCGCCACCTGGCTCAGGCTGTGGTAAGCCGGCCAAGTGCCCGGATCGGGCCCCGTAACACTGCAAAGCGTAGGGCAGTCGTCTCGCCCCCGGTAGGATACGGAGGCCGGTTGCCGCAGGTTTGACATTGGCGACCCGGCCTCCACAGTCCCAAAGGAGAGGAAGAGAGCGGCCGCACTGAGGACCGTTGCCGCCCGTGAAAAGAAGGACATGATAGTGATGAGGACCAAGAAGAGAAGGAATAGGACGATTCAATGGAATCATGGAAGCAATATTCCTGCTGGGGGCTCTTTGCCTAGCTGCTCATCGAGCTGCCTTGCCTTTTGTATAAAGAGGCCAACGGAGACTTGTAGACGGATCACCAACCAACATCGACACGATCCAATCCCATCGAAATGTGGAAGCACGTTCTCATCAGAGTCCTCCAGTCGCGGTAGACTGATCCTTCAGCACACCACGCAGTTCATGGGTGAAATTGCAAGGGCCGTGATGGACATGGTCCATATGCCGGTCAACGACATGTTCACAACGTTGCCACTTGACAGAACCAACATGTGTTCGTTCCGGATGCTTTTAGAATCATGCGAAATGAGGTGCGAGAAGCGAAAGAGACGTTGGCATGCAAATGCCACTGTGCTTTATAAAGGACTAACACTGGCGCGTATGTAGTCCGCTTGTTGGTGGTTTGTGAGGTAGGGGGTTGAAGAGTGAAGGGTAACAGCGCCAGAACAGAATTAGAGGTAGGTACTACCCTCTTATGTAACTCGGCTCGGTGACTGGATAGGGGGTACCATATTGCTGTGAAATGCGAGTGAACGGGCGTCTCTCGAACCGGACTCGCCGTCTCTCCTTCACCAACGGACAGAGGTAGCAGGACGCCCCTGGAGGTGAGATGTCTCATAATAGAGTTAAGAGGCACAAACACCCAACTGCTTAGTGTAAAAGTGAAGGGAGTGAACATGGACACAAGGCACGAAAGAATGGTTGTGAACTTGTTGATTGAAGAACAAGAAAAAGAGGAAAGGAGAACCGGTGAATATGAGTGCATATGAGACGCGAGTAATATATATGTGTGGATCGAAAAGCATCTTGCTCAAAAGACTATGTCTGCTCTACAAAAGCTGCATGGCAACCAAAGCCGCGACGAAGCCGCTTAGCATGGCTGGGAACCCAGTCTTTGTATCCGCCGCCGCCGCGTTCTGCTTGCTGGGACAGCTCACCAAGGGGCTGACGGCATCCGCGCATGCCGTGGCTGTGAGGGCGGCCGAGATGCTGCTTGCTGTGGCCGAATCCACGTGGACTGCACACGGGTCGCCGTCCACCAGGGGCTGCACGTCCGAGAGCACGGCGCACGAGTTGCGGCCGTCGTACTGCGCCGGATACACGTCTAGAGTGCCCGTGAGATTGAAGGCGAAATGGCTGGCGTTGGTACATAAGGCGCTGTTTGTCGTTGCCCCCACGAGGTCGGGTTTCGGAGCGCCGTTTGCGATGGTAAATGTCACACCGAGGCTACGGAAGCCACCGCCGATAAAGGGCAGGCCCCCGTGGGAGCAGTTGCGGGCGCCAAGCTCCCACGACAGCATGTAGGACGTCGGCGCCCCGTCGGCTGTTGTGTTGAGTGTCGAGATATACGTGTACACAAAGGTGGGCTCGTTGGAAAAGTTGGTCGACTTCAGGTTCAGGGTAGAATCATTCGCGTGACTGAAGGTGCTATCCCAGAGCAGCAAGTCAAGGGAGGGGTCGAGCGACGAAGCCAGCGCCGCGTTCTGGAAAGCGAAGACGATGGGGAAGAGTATCGACGGCGCATACGTGTCGTTGCGTGGGAAGATCAAGTCCACCTCGACCGTCGCTGGGAAGGTGGCTGCTCCAACCTGCATTGCCCAGAGCAGCACGGCTGAGAGGAACGCTGACATTGTATCAACTGGTCGGAGAAGGGATAGTGATGATGTTGAAGCAGTGATGGTGGCGGAGGATGACTGAGAATCAAGAGAGACAAAGGTCGGGTGAAGAGAGAGACGAGCATAAACTCACAAAGTTGGAAGGAAAGAGAGTTATGGGCATGGCGGGTCCAACGTTGAGCGAAGTCAAGTTTAGAGCTACCTGCTACATGCGGCTCTGTCATACTTGAGGTAGCGGGATCCAATCATGGCGTAGCTCTCGGCCACATGTTCAACTTTTCTAGACTCTAATAGAGTAGGTAGCATTTTACCCAGACGTCACGTCTAGGACGGGAAATATCCTCACCAACGTTGGCTTGAAATCCTTCACGGCGAGAATATCCTACAGATGCCATGTCAGGCAGTCGCCATCGACACATGCCACGGAGCAAGTATAAATGGCTCTGATGAGGACCATGGAAGCTACTTACCCCGTCCATTGTTGTTTGTTCACGCCGGCCACTGTCCTCCGTCGTCTTCATCGTTTGCCCTTCACGTTGCTCTTGCCGCATCTCCTCTGTAATTCCTTCTCAGCCACGGCACAATGGGCTTTGCTTCCTCTCTTCTGATGCTGGGCGTCGTTCCCCAGCTGCTGGTCGCGGCACATGTCCTTCAAGCCCGCCAGAGCGTGTCCTGCGACTTCGCTACTGCCGCCAACAATGGCGACACTTGCGCATCCTTTGCTGCCGCGTGGGGTATCACCGAGGCCGCCTTTGCGAAGCTCAACCCCGGTGTCTCTTGCCCCGGCAACCTGATTGCCGGCAGCGAGTACTGTGTCATTGGCACCGTGTCCACAGGCGCTCCCACCACGACCAAGGCCGCTACTACGTCTGCGTCGGCGTCAAGGGCGGCTCCTCTCCCCCGCCTACAACCACCAAGCCGGCCAGCTCCGCCCCGACTCCCCAGATGCCTAATACCATTAGCAACTGTAAAAAGTTCCACAAGGTCGTGTCTGGCGACGGCTGCCGGGCCATTGAGCAAGCCGCGGGCATCAGCGCCTCGGACTTTGCCAAGTGGAATCCCTACGTTGACGCCGCTTGCGACAACCTGTGGCTCGGCTACTACGTCTGCATTGGTGTGTGAGAGGAGGTCTAGTATAGATACTCGGACGTCTTTTAGCATTTGGACTTTGGAAAAGCCTTGAAGCTATCTATAGCTTTAGGTTCCCTCATCCCTTTTCTAGTTGACCAGTGATGGCGTTCTCCATCTTATAGGCAAATAATACATTTCGAATATGCACTAGACTACATACATGATGCTCGTTTTGACAGCGGTTATCTTGCATTAGGTTGCTCCTAAGGTAGCATCCGTTGTCTCGTCTACAGCGCCCCTTGCATGACTGCCGCCTCCTCTGCTAGACCACGTGGTCCATCTGCCTCTTCCTATAAGCCGTGGTCTTTAAAGGATTGGGTGCCCCTGCCCCTGGCTTTTTATCAGCTAGGCGGCTTGTCGAGCTTTTATGTATTTCCGGTATGTACATATCTCCATGCACTGATTGTATGTGGTGGGACAAAAGAATCGTGAGGATTTACCCTTTCATAAGTGATCTCGTGAGGTTAGTATCCGGTACTCAAGTGTTTCGTCCGAGTGTCTCAACCTCTCGCTTTGATCGCTTGTTTGATTGGGGTTGGGCTGGTTGGTGCAAGTGTTAGTATATACGTGGCAATAGCACCATGTTCTTAACAGACCTGTTTGAGGTAGGTCCCCATATTCACCCATGCATGTCTCGATGCCGAGATCCGAGATTCTCCCCGGGCCTTGCTGTCGGACCCTTTTTTTCTTCTTTTTGTTCACTTGTTTTTTTGTCTTTCCGTTTTCGAACCACACAAACTTCCAGTACCAGAGTGAGACCGACTTCTGTTCGTCAATGCAAGGGCCTTCACACGCCACGGCCGGGTGTTTTTTTGTGTCTTTGGCGGCATGGCATGGCTTGCATCTTGTTCCTGACTCCTGAGTGGTCAGGTCAGGCGGCCCCGCTTAAGCCGAAGAAGAGGCTGGAGGGCGCGCGGGACTTGGCTGAACTGTCAATGACTCCATAAACAATAACAATAACAACAATCTACACGTTTCTCTTATTGAATTGCCATTTGACAAATTCATTCTTGATTCCAACATTTGTCATTGCAAACTGATAGTGGAGTTGCCGATACCCACTGATCTGAGGAGCCTCAGTTGGAAAGGCTGTTAACAAACTCCACCAGTAGCAACAGACGCGGGAATCCACAACTCCACCCGCCCGCCGCGGCTCTGGGGCTAGACCAGGAACAGCAGGGCAGCTCCCCCATTTCCACTTCAGTTCCCACTGCACCCCTGAATTGCCCACAATCCACATCAACAACAACCAGGCGCCCGAACAAAGCCTTGCCACGTTTCGTTTCCTTGGTCGTTCCAATTTGGTTTCAGCATTTTCAACTCCCGATAATCCTGGGGACCTCACCTCCCATAAACAAAACCCAATTTCCCAACCCGACACAAACCGGGAATGGCTACACTGAAAACACCCCATCATGGCGCCATCGTATAGTAGCAATGGGGGCTACGGCTACAGCAGCTCATCCTTCCAACCCAAACACCGCCGCTCCGACTCGACTTCGTTTCTCGACGACCTGCGCGCCTTCCTCGCCCACTCGTCCCGCTCCGCCTGGCGCTTCTGGAGGGAACGCGGTCGCTTCATCGCCTGGGCCGCCCTCATCAATGCCGGCCGAAGACTGCGCATGAACCTGACGTATAACCGCCTGTTCAGCTTCCCGCACTTGTTGGTGGCCGCGTGGATCGTGGTCTTGCTTTGGGGCGAGAGATGGGTGTTTCATTCGGCCGTGGAGGAGTGTGAGTGGGAAAAGTGGGAGAGATGGGTAAGAAAGACTAACCATATTTCCTGTTGTGTATGGGATAAGGAGAAGGAGAAGGAGAAAGAAAAGCTGCTAATTATCGTGTGACTATAGCCCGCCGGCGCGAACCCCCACCGCCTCGTTCTGGTGGCCGATCCCCAGCTCATCGATCCTCATTCGTACCCCGGCCGACCGTGGCCACTGAACCCGTTGACCATGACGATTGTCGACAACTATATTCGCCGATCTTACACACAGATGCAATCGCAGCTTGATCCCGATACGATATTCTTCCTGGGCGATCTTTTCGACGGCGGACGCGAATGGAAGACAGCACATGGAGATTTCAGAGACCCGGAATGGGGTCCGCATCCGAAAGACGAGCAGAAATACCTAAAGAGTTGGAATAAAAAGTATAATGAGTTTTACTGGTTGAAGGAGTACGCGAGGTTTGGCGAGATCTTCTTTACTCCGTGGCTTGAGGCCGGGCAGAAGCCGGAGAACGAACATAAGAGGAGGAAACTGATTGCCAGCCTTCCGGGGAACCACGACTTGGGATTTGGTGCCGAGATCAAACTCCCCGTGAGGAACAGGTTTGAGGCGTACTTTGGCGAGGGCAACCGCGTGGATGTGGTTGGAAACCATACGTTTGTTTCGGTCGACACGGTCTCGATGAGCGCTGCTAGCTTGTCGGAGATTGCCAGGCAGGATGTACAGCCTATTTACAAACCGACGGAACACTTTCTCAACCAAGTGAAGTGGACGAAGCAGAAGGCGGTGGAGAAGGAGCTGCGGTATCTGAGGGGAGAGGTTCCCGAGGTTAAGCTCCACCACAGGATTGAGGAGCTCAACCAGGCCAACTTCAAGGATCAACCGCATCTTGTCCACGACGAGAACAGCCAGAAAATTCCCGACCTCCCGACCATCCTTCTCACCCACGTCCCACTCTATCGACCACCCGGCACCCCATGCGGCCCGAAGCGCGAACATTGGCCCCCTACACCACCGCCCAAGGGTCAGACTGAGCCCGTATTTCCCGACCACCGCAACGCCATCTCCATGTATCGAGGCTACCAATACCAGAACGTTCTCGACGAGAAGCAGTCCATAAGCCTGATCGAAAAGACCGGCAACGTCATCCACGCCTTCTCCGGCGACGACCACGACTACTGCGAAGTAGTGCACGCGCCCAACCAAGGTTCAGTCCGCGAAATCACCGTCAAATCCATCAGCATGGCCATGGGCGTGCCCACCCCAGGCTTCCAGATGGTCAGCTTATACAACCCGCTCGACCCCGTCACCGGCAAGCCCCTGGCAGGTGACGGCCAACCCACCATGCAAACCCACCTCTGCCTGCTCCCCAACCAAATCAACACCTACCTGCACTACGTCGGCCTGGGAATCTTCTGCGTTATCCTCCTCGCCATCCGTGCTTTCTTGGTTCCTGTCCTCAACCTGCCCCGCTTCGCCCTTGATTCAGACAGCGACAGCAGCCACCACCACCCGAGCGGCATCTCCATCCTCCCCGTCTTCAAAGCCAAACAAGAAGATTACGACGAGTATAGCCTTCCCTCTGCCGGATACTCGGCTTCTTCAAAGTACGGCTCATCAGGCACTTCAGGCGAACGACGAACTCGTACCGCGTCAGTCAGCTCTTCTTCACTAAAATCATCAAATAATTTCAGAAACGGTCATCACAACGAAAAGAGTGGAGGTAGTAGTGGAAGAAGCAGGAAATCGAGCGTTTATAGTAATAGTAATAAATCAGTTAAAGGAGGGTGGTCGTGGGGTGGGAAGCATGGCCATCATCATGAGCCGAGGATTGAGATTCCGGGGGAGAATGAAGAGGATCTTTATTATGGTGGGGCATTTACGAGTTCGAGTTCTTCAAAGTGGAGGGCGAGGCAGAGTAGGAAGAAGCTGAAGCCCAAGACGGCCATGGGCGTGGTGGTGACGGAGTTGTGGACGACGGTTTGGAGGGTGGCGTGGATGGTGGTGGTGGTTTTTGGGTGGTTGGCTTGGAAGGGGTGAGTTGGCCCGTTGCATTGTATAGGGGAGGGAATTGAAGAAATGGGGGGTAACATGGTGATAGAGCAAGAAAAAAAGAATTGGTTGTAGCGGGCGTGAAAGGGTATGTTATCTGATGAAATCATCCAGGGGCATCAAATAGGTGCCGGTACATACTATGAATCTTATCCACCCATTCAGATATAAATTTCTACCGATTAAAAATTAGACGCCAATTCCGGGTTGTAATATAGACCTAGTAGCTGGCTGTCTTCAGCTGTTGGTATCACATCACATGCATACCACCATCACACTTGGGTCTATCCAGGTATCTACCTGTTCTGTGTTCATTTCTTTCTTCTTCTTCTTCTTCTTCTACTACCTATCCAGTCTCCATCTAGACTAAAGATAGAGGTAGGTAATTACTAGCCGTGCCCGTCAAATAGTCTGACGGTCTACTTACCTACCTAGAGGTACTTACTCACCTACCTACCTACCTACCTACCTACCTACTAACCAAACATGAAACGACCTTCCATCGATGCGTGTACGAACTGAAGGGTACCTACCTACATACTTACATATACTAGTCTACACTACACTACACTACAATATAGTCAGTACAGTCGGTACCAACCCGTACCTGATTTTTTTTCTAGTAAGTGGCATCTCCATCGCCCGAGATCATCTTAGTTACTTAGTTGTTGATTCATTTGACTACCTAGGTATGTACCATATCCATATCCATTCGTGTCATGTAAGTAGTCAGCCAGTCAGTCAGTCACTCAGCCACTCAGTTCCGACTAAGAAAGAGAGAAATAAAGAAGAAAAAAAGGAAGGATAATCCTAGTCTAAAGCAACAACAAACACCCCTGAATGCTTGCTTGGTATTGATTGCTATTGGTATTGATTGGTATAGCTTGTCTTTCTGACACATCCCGCTGGGGCAACTGACTGAAAACTCTCTCTAAACTCTCTCTCTCAAACAAAACATAAGGCTAGCTAGGTATATGTATGTACTTTACATCGCAACTAGCTGATAGTACCGAGCAGCTAGAAAAGGAAAACTACATCTTACCCATTCCATATGAATGCATTCACCAAATCAAGAACGAATCATAACAAAAGGAGGACAAATTGGTATTTATTTTGCCATCTGCCTGCCTGTCTGCTTGCCTGCCCTAACGCGCCCAGCGCATACCGTCCGGCCTCACCCACCCCCTGAGAGAGATTTCTACCAGAAATGGGGAAAAAAAGAGAACAAGGATGAGAACATGAACAAGAAATGAAGCATGGTAAAAAAAAAAAAGAATTTGAAGATAAATGGGAAAGGTATATATAGGAAGCCAGCCGATATAGATAGATAGATAGAGAGAATTAGAGTCTAAGAAATTTGGTTGGGTATTTCGGGGGGGTATTTCACGTTCGTTTTCTCTCTTTCTCCTTTCCGTTTCTCCTTTCCAACACACAATCGCCCAGCGACAACGTACCACATACCCACACTGATGACTATCTTCACCACCCATCAACATGATCATCGTCTTCATCATCAACATCCCTTGCGGCATCTCCGCTGCAATCAATGCACTGCTGAAACGGCCGTAACTAGCGACGAGTGTAGACGGGGATGTTCCGACGAGCAGGAGGGGGAATGCCACCGTTCTGCTCTGCGTTGTTGGTGAGCTCGGCGACGCGGGCCTTGATGCGGGCTACGCGGGATTCGATGGCTGTTTTCTCATGTTAGCGTTTCTCTCACTCTGTAAGTTTGTCTAATTCAACAGGTAGATAACTTACTCTCCTCAGTACTGCTATAGCCGTCCAACTCAATCCTCGCTCTGGGCGGCTGGAGTGTCCTAGCACCATCGAGCGGCTGTCCATTACCATTCATCTTCTCCTCCTTCAATCTCTGTGCAGCACGCTCAGCGGCGTTCTTGCGAATCTGGGCCCAGCGATCCTGGGGGTTCGATGGAGTGGGGCTGACCGGGGCGGGCTCAGGGCTGTTGGGGATGGAGGAGCCCGAGGTCTCAGAAACAGTCATCTCGGAGATGGGGCGCTCCCTCCTCATGGGCTTCTGCTCTTGAATGTGAACGGGTGTAGGAGCGGGGACGGACATGGGAGCGGGGACAGCAGCAGCTTGCTGTTCCTCGACAATCTCTTCAGAAGCATCATCATCATCGGGGACAAAGGCAGGCTGGTCACGCAAAGGACCCTGGCTGAACTGGTTGACGTGCTCCTGAGGCGGGGTGGCTTCGAAGGAATTGACCTGAGAAGTCTCCTCGACATCCCGCTGGGGCTGCTCATAAGTAGGTTCAGCCTGGACAGGCTCAGCGGCGTGAGTAGCAGGCAGAGGGTCAGTGACTTCCTCCCGGGGAGTCACAAACTGAGTCTCCTCTCGCTGCATGGGAGGCTTCTCGGGGGTAGCCGGCTTGGGCTGTTGGGGGACTGGCTTGCGATGTTGAGCATTTTGGTTGTTCGCGGCAATCATGGCATTGAGTTGATCAGGCGTGTTGTCAGCAATTTTTGACGACCTCTTAGCGCGACCAAACAGCTTCCTGAAACCGCCTCCACTAGTCTTGGGCTCCTTGTGAAGCTTCTTGGACTTCTTGTCATCCACGTACTCTGGAGAGGCCATAGTCTCACGCATAAAGTCGACGCTCTTGCGGACCAGGTCCATGCTCTTGGATTCCCTGGTTGGCGTAGCAAGCGGAGTCTCCCGGCTGACATTCGAATGGCGTTCTGCGGGATGAACTTCATGAGGAGCCTCAACCGCCCTCTCCATCATCTGTCCCTTTCCAGACTTGACGGTGGTTGGCGTTCCGATGTATTCTGGGTGCGAATCTGACCTTGGGGACTGGACAGCCATTTGAGCTGCCGACTTTGGTGGCAGTTCAGGCGCAGCTTGGGAAATCTCCATTGTCGAGCTCTGACCAAGGCTAGAAGCGTAAGAAGAGCCGTAAGTACCGCGGCCAGCGTTCGAGTCAGCCAAGTAGGCCTCACGAATCGCGTCACGGTCCTGGTCGTACTTATTGGCCCACTGGACAGCTGGCGATGCGGCGTTCAAAATGCTTGGCTGAAGGGTAAAGACACTGTTTGTCTTCTCCGCCATAACTTCCGCGTCATTGCGTCCGCGTCTTTGGACAATCTGAGGTTGCGACTTCTGCTTCTCCTGCATTTGAAGTTGGTAGGCAGCAGCCTGAATCTTGGCCTGCTGATCCGGTCCGACGCTTGTCTTGCTGACACCAAGAGAACCAGTGGTGTGGCTTGCCTTCAGGTTGCCATCAGGTTTTTCTAGGGCATTCTTGCCGGATGTCGATTTCCTTCTGGTGAGGTTCTTGTTACGGCGAGTCCAGCTGAAAAGGCCCTTCTTTTCTGCGATGTACGCACCCTCAACAACCTCAGGCGCAGCCCCTTTGACAATTTCCTCCATGACAAGCCAGCGCCCAGCACGGATAAGAGTTTCAATAACCGCGCAACGGCCAAACGCCGCTTTCCTTTCCAGAGTCTCCTCGGGCGCCAGACTGCTCATCCATACCCACCAGAAAGCGTCATCGAGGTCGAATCGCGTAATGCTAGCAAGCTCACCGGGCTGCAGGGCGTCTTCGAATCTGGGCTTATGCGATTCAGAGCTCTTTTGACGGACAGTTGTCTCAATGGGCGGCAGAATCTTGTCAGGCGGAAGCAAAATATTGTGCGAGCCGTGACTCTTGTCGTCGAACCCTGAAGACAGGAAGTCGGCCCATGAGGGGGTTGTGGGGCGTCCCATGTCGGCGTTGGCTGCAATCTGCGCCTTGATGGCCTTTTCGCGTTTAGCAGCCAAGGTAGTTTCATCATCGGTGGAATCCTCCTCGATACTGCCTGAGAAGCCCATGTCCTCGAATCTTGACCACGAAGCATCCCGAAGACTAGTCGAGTGCTTTGTGCTCGAGACAGCCTGGGACTGATTTGCAGCAGAGACTGCTTTAAGGACTCTGCGACACTCCTCAGTCAAGGCCTGGACTGGGTCATCGTACTCGGACCACTCTCGTAGTGCCTTGTCCTCCTCGCGATACTGAAAGTGGTTTGCTCGTCGGAGAAGGGCGAATGGTGTTGGCGATACTGTCTCGACAATCATGGCGACCTTGTGAGTTGACGATTGCAACAAGGCCGGTCGCTGTGGTGGGTATTCGGTTTCCTGCAAAAGCTTTTGTAGTGATAGGGGAAGGGTCGAGATGGCGCCTAGAGTCGGAAGGGGGGCTAGACAACGGAGATAGGCGAAGAACAGATGGCTCGTCGCATCGGCCGCCTTTAACCACGATTTGTATCCTCCTTCAAAGCCCTGACCGCCGTCGTCGTGTTCAAATGCCCACCAAGCTGCCATGCGGGAAAGCTTTCGCCCTCCAAACCCGTTCATTTTACCATGTGCTGCGACTGCCGAGAGTAAATCAAAAAACTGAAAAATGATTTCGGTTCGGGCCCTGTTGTCGACACTCAACGGGATAAATGTCTTGAAAGAGTCTCTGGCCATGTTGGAATCTTGTTCGCCGACCTTGAACAATTCGTATGCATCCCAACCGACAACACCCCCTTCCAATCGACTCCAGCACCACTTGATCACACCCGAAATAACCTGTACCACCACGGTCAGCATGTATTATTCGTTATGACTGGTCTTGTCGGGAAAGCGCACCATGGGCTCGGTCATGCGCAGCTCCTGCTGGAGTGCCTCTCCGCGGATGGCTGGGCCGCCATTTTGTTTGTCGAAAAAGTGTCGCACAAAGGTGCGAACGGCGCTGGGGTCGGAAGTCGGTCGGAAGGGGAGCAGGAAAAATGGGATATCGAGAGCTGTAGGGAAAGAAGAATTAACAATTGATTCGGACGACAGGCAGTCGGGGTGTACAAAAAACCAAATGCCCAAGCCAGCAGATGCGATGGCATGTACTGCACAGGCGCAAAGGGTAGGTGCAGCATATGCCAGGGTCCAGATTGATTGATGTCATACCTCGCGACTTGAGCTCCTCGGTAGAGAGGATGATCAGCTCAACCACCTCTTCGGGTTCCACGCTTGTGCGAGTCCAGGCGTCGGTCCATTGGGGTCCCTTGGGCAGCTGCTCGGTGAAGGAGTCCAAGTCGGCGCCCTTTTTCTTGGACTTGGCGCCGTCCTTGTGCTTGAGGCGGGAGAACAAGCTGGGCATCGTCGTTTACTTTTTGAGGGGTGTTGTGATTTG